TTATCTCCTCAGGCTCTAGGGTAGTGCCTGCACATGGCACACTTTCAAAACTGTTCTTTTAGACTTATCAATGGGACTCAACCTGTTCTCCACTGAATATGCTATGGGGGAGAGTCTGACCAACAATAAAACCTGTATGAACAGAGAACCTGGACAAAACACAGTCTGCTGCTCTTCCAAGCGCCCTGCTTTCAGTCAAGATATCCTTGGCATCTAACCAAATCGCCAAAGAAGAAATTCAATATGGAAGGAACCAAACCCACAACAAGGATTTGACCAGATGGAAATATGTCCATTCATAACACAAGCAAATTCTCTAAACAAGATGAATAAAAACTGTCTAATAAAATAGTATAGCCTCTTTTAACATATAAAAAAGTAGTTTCCTAAAACAATTTTAAGATAATATTTTATTAATTGAGTATTTCATGTATGCAATGTCCTCCAACAATTTAATGGCAATCTTCCTCAGAAAACTCATCTAACTATTGATAAGCTTACCGTTTGTTCTACAGGCAGTTCTCTGATGCCCACAAGGATCTTAGAAGTCCTTTAAGTGAAACACAAGAACTAAGAAAAGAATGGTATCATTTTCACAAGCTCCCAATAAACTAAAAAAATTAACCAGATTCTACCGACACTTACCAGACTGTTTCTAAGAGATGACTTTTTTTTGTACCCCCCCTCTACGTGGATGGCAGACACCAACAGCTCTGCTTCACTTCATGTGTAGCATGTATGAGGTTCTGTGTGTACTTTCCTAACTAATCCACGCACTACAACAAAGGAGATCCTGGTGTATAGGTGAGGAGCTCAGCACCATGAGGGGGAATGGCCAAGGCGTCACAACTAGTGCTGGGATTTCATAAACACAGATATGCATGGTGGGACCTCAAGAGAAAGTAAAATAGCCTTTACATTGGAATGTGGCATGGTTACATCTGGCTTTTATTGTTTAATTTTTTTTCATTTTTGTCAAAATTACAAAGTCAACATGAATTCCAATCATGTGTTAGGTACAGAACAGACTAAATTTTAAACATTTTAAAACATTCTTTCATTTCAAAGAAAAATCACACCCAATAAATCCGTAAGTTATATAACTCATTATTTAATTAAACTGATTTTAAAGGGTCCAATATATTTCTTAAAAGTGAATATAACTTGGCCTAATGAACGAGTTCCTATCTTTAATATACATGTCCCAGGCAGAACTGAGAAATAAGTAAGAACTTTACTGACATTCTAGCAGACTCTGTCCACTATACTGGCAAAATGATATAAGCAGAGGGGCTTCTCACTTGCTCATGGAACTAAACATCTTGGCCTGCTGTCTGAAGGACAGACATCAAAGACTGTGGCCAATAATCATATCAAACTGTTAATTAATTGTCATGATTTCTAACAGTAAGGCTTCATCCTGTAATCTGTAAGCTAAGCGTTCTGCAGAATTCTGCAGCATTTACAGCACTCAGTTGCTTGCTTCAAAGTACTGTTGGACCTAATAAGCCAGGATGCCAGTGTTTTAATATACAATGAAAAATATTAAGTAGGCACAAATACTGCAATAGGTTAAGCCATCACTTCCTGCTACGGCTTGGCTCTTAAAAGTACTAAAGGTTGGCCGGGCAGTGGTGGCGCACGCCTTTAATCCCAGCACTCGGGAGGCACAGCCAGGCGGATCTCTGTGAGTTCGAGGCCAGCCTGGACTACCAAGTGAGTTCCAGGAAAGGCGCAAAGCTACACAGAGAAACCCTGTCTCGAAAAACCAAAAAAAAAATAAAAAATAAAAAATAAAAAAAGTACTAAAGGTCTAGGTGTAAGAGGCTTCCTTCTAAGCCCTTGATGCAGTAGAGCCTTGAGGAAGTGGGGCCTCGTGGAAGCTGTGCCCTAGAGGTATCTTTTCTCTTTCATTCCTGGCTCCAGGAGCAGGCAGCACCTCTGCCACAGGCTTCCACCATAATAGACTGTGCCACCACAGGGCCAACAGGGACAAAACTCAACCAAAATAAACCTTTACTTTGTTACAGGAATAAAAATTGAACACACCTGACCTGAGAGAGGTTCACATGGATAGTAACATTTTGAGTTCACATCTACTTGCCTCAAAAATACAATTCATTTATTATTTCTTCTCCATCCTCCACATCTGTCTAATGCAATGGGCTTCAAACTCTGTATGCCATAAAAAGGAATTTACAACACACACGCACATGCGTGAGCAAGGAACACAATATCACCCAATGACACTTAGCCCTTTTACATGTGATACACTCTAGTATTGCCTCTTCTGGTTTTCTAATGCAGATTGAAGATGGGGAAAACGTGAAGTTTCGAAGACCACAGTCTCTCACCATTATCTATTCATCCTCCACACCGCCATGCATCTCATGTGCACATTACTCTCCTTAAAACATTCAAAGGCTCCCCCTGCCTTACCTGAAGAAACAGAAAATGGCTTTTTTTCTATGACTATGCCACTCATTCAGTAAATACTTACGGAGAAGCTACAGGGCAATGTGCTACATCTTGGAACGCACTGACATACGGGACAGGCATGACTACCGATAGCAGAAGTGTACATCGAGGAAGGACAGTCATTACATAAATATCTTAGACTCCTTCATGAATTCTTTATCATCCTCTCCAACTTATTCCATTCCCCTCAACTTTTACTTCCTGCTATAACCATTCTAATCCGCACAAAGATCCCAGAGAAGGCTACACTCTTCTATACAGAGAGGCTGTCATCCATATTCTTTCTACATGGGACGTCCTCTTCCTCATCATCTCACAAAATCCTTCTCAGCTTCCAAGATCAGCTCAAGTGCGTCCTCTACAGAACTCCCATTGACTGCTTTCTTGACACTAGTTCACTCCTCCTGCCTCTCGCCATCACTCCCGGACCACACTCCTCTCTGACAGTCCCCATCACAACGCTGTGGTCACTTTTAAGACGGCAGTTGTCTTAGTTAAGTTTCTAATGCTGTGAAGAGACACCATGACCACAGCAACTCTCATAAAGGAAAACAGTTAACTGAGTCTGGTTTAACAGTTTAGAGGTTTGATCTATCATCATCATGGCGGGACACGGTAGCGTGTAGGCACACATGGTACTAGAGGAGCTGAGAGTCCTACATCTTGATCCACAGGCAGCAGAGGGAGACTGTGTTACTCTGGGCATGGCCTGAGCATCTGAGACCTCGAAGCCCGCCCCCACAGTGACACACTTCCTCCAACAAGGCCACTCCTCTTATAGTGCCACTCTCTATAGGCCAAGCACTCACACGCGTGAGCCTAGGGGCCATTCCTACTTAAACCACCACTGCAGTCTTCGGTGGTTTTCTTTGTATCGTTCACAGACTCAAAGAACACATGCACAAATGTTGCATGTGTCCATGACTCCATTACAATGACTGCTAATTGATTTTTGAAAACAGTATACTTATAAATATGTATTTTTCTGTTTAAAGTCTGGTATACACCTGCTTTGTTTTGTTTTTTAATTAGGAGTTTGCTTAGCAGCAGAATCTTTCGAGATATTTCCCTTGGAACTGATCAAATGACTATTCTTAATTTCAGTAACTACCATGGCAAGAACACAAACTCAGTATATTAGGTCAGTGTCACATTATACCCCGGCCACAAAGTCACTCCACAAGTGTCTTGATTGGGGAGCTGTCCGACACGCTCCAGCTTTGTGAATGAGAAACTGTGAGGGTGGGGCCCACAGCATGTGTTCCAAAGCCTGGGTGGGGTTTGACAACTGCCGCCCTAGGAACAAATGCAACAGTTTGCACTTGGTATCACAGTTCTGCTGAACACCTCTCCTACAGTCTCCTTTCAAACCTCCTCCAAGGAGACTGTCTTCCAAACCTGCCACCTGCTTTCCCAACTTCCAGATTTGACCCACAGGTCACATCTTTCCTCTTCTATGACATTTCTCCTTCGCTGCTGAAATCCTCTTCTGATGATCCCGGCTTTTGGGAATCTTTTCCATTCTGTAATTCCAACTATTCTGAATACTAACTTAGGTGACAATCTGCACAGATCACTAACAAGTTGTGCCTGATCTCTGTAAAAGACCCACGACAATGAGGATTTTAAATCAATATAGGAGGATCAAGTGTTTACTTTTCCCACATGACACCAATTAGCTGGGACAATTTTCAATAATTCACTAGCTCTATTCATTCCAAATAGATGGTAACACCTTCGAATTTTTCTAAGCACCGATTTATGCTACTCGTGGTTACGTAACGTCATTTTCTCCTAATAGGAAACAAACCCTTAAAAGAACCGTCCTTTTAAAAATACCATTTCCCTGAATGTATTTACTTTGTCAAAGAACATTCTGGACATTATACATGACCCTCAAATGTTTTGTTTCTGCTGGAAATTGGTTTTCTACCCGCTTAGACACTTTTATAGTCTCTTTGTTCTCCAAAATATATGCATGGGCCACAATTCTTAAGAAAGGCGGCAGGCAGTAAGGAACGCTGTTCACGCTATTATGGCTTAGGCTGTATTTCACTTTTCAAATATGAAACACCTATCTGCAGTTGGCACGTCCTCTCTGAAAGAGATCTGCAGGCGCTGTCCAGGCGGCATTGGGCCACCAGACACCGCTTCGGGACTCAGAACCCTACTTCACACCGGGTGTGACTCTGCTGAAAAACGAGTGTTCACGCCACTCCTCGGTGTCTGCTGCTCCCTTGCACAGGCGGAGCTGGCTGACACAGAGCAGCCTCCGGGCCCCATCTCCCTCCCGGCGGCCGCGAGACTGACTGCAGCGTCTGCGACGCCTTTCTTCTGTAAGGAAAAAGCGTGCTGTCCCCTCGAGGCCTTCCTCCACACACACCCGCCCCGATCCAGTCACATCCTCCTCTGCTGCCCCCCGCGAGCCTCCAGGGGGCGCCCCCGACAGCGGGGCTGACCCCGGGCGGAGGACGAACCGGCCCCGACTCCCGGCCTCAGCGCGCACGGGGTCCCACACTCACCCTCCCGAGGCCGCGCCGCAACGCCCCGTCCCTTCCGCCCATTCTGCCCGCCCCTTCCGCGCACGCCGCACGCAGGCGCAATGTGACGCCCCGCGTAGGCGCAGGCGCAGGCGCGTCGCTGCGGGGCGGGCTGTCTCGTGGCGGCCGGGGCATGCGCGGGAGGGGTGGTCCTCCTGGGCGGGAAGCGGGCGGTGGCGGCGGTGCTGGCCGCGCTGGTCCTCGGCGTCTCCCCTCGCGATGGCGAGCTGGCTTCGGCCGCCGCAGGGGCTTCCAGCCTGCCCGACCTCGGCGGCCGCGGTGCCCAAGCCCCCTCCTCCCGCGTCACTGATGACGCGGACACAGTTTGCAGCGCACGTGGCCACCTGTTGGAGTAACCGCTCCACCCCCAGCCCAAGTGCAAGTCTGAACAATGGCGTGGTTTGAGTGGCTGAAAGACCCACAGTTTTTCTCTTCACAGCTGATCCGCTCGTACTAATATTTTGTAACATGTCCCACGTTGAGAGACCTGTGCTCACCGAGAAAGTCGTCTGGGTTGGGCAGGCTCTCCCTTGAAAGGACCTCACCTGTTTCTATCTTGCTTGGGACGGAATGGTAATTTCTTTTTTTTTGTTTTGTTTTGGGAGACAGGGGCCTCTGGCTGTCCTTGAACTCACTATGTAGACCAGGCTGGCCTCAAACTGCCTCCTCCCAAATGCTGGGATTAATGGTGTACCCTATGGCTCCCTGCTGTAACTAATTTTAAAAAATTTTAAACATACACGATGCAGCAGGTGGTGAAGCCGTTGTGTACTAGTCCAGGATTTTTAGGGGAAAGTTTCTCTACTATTGTAATCAAGGTAACATCCATGTGATCTACATACTATTTTTCTTTTTTTGATGAAAGATAAGTTTGTGAGTAAGTTTGCTGACTTAAAAACGGATCCCTAGCTTTGACCTGTTTTTTATTCTGCAGACTATAAGATACTTTGGTGCATGTTGCTTTTTAAAGTTCCCCAGCAGTTCCAGAATATCACTCCCTTCATGAAGCAGAAGTGTCCCTGTAAAGTGCAGGAGGAGGTGGGGGACTGGAACCTGCCTTTGAGGCTGTGAGATTTCCACCTATGTGCAACATTCTTCTGAAAAATGGTTTAGCCTGAATCTCATTGTTAAATGCCAGGCAGAAAAATTTAAAACTGGTTTTATTTGGACTTCAGAAATGTCAGTATCTTAAAAAGTAACAACCAAAAAAAAAAAAAAAAAAAGATTATATTTAGGGCACCTGATCAATCTTGGGTAGCAGTAAGTATTTTAAAATTTTAAAACACGAAGACACATAGTGACTTGAATTTCTCAGGGATGATCTTTTTTAAAAGGATCGTTTTGTGTTTAGTCCATGTACAATCAAGTAGGTCTGAGGTCCTAAGATCTACAAATTTCAGGTAATCCAGAATGAGAGAGTGTGAAGACAGAAAAAGTAGGGCATTGTGTTAAAAACAGGTCATTTAAGTGATATCTATAAGTGTTTTGTTTTTTTTAACTCTTTGACCATAAATTTGAAATGTTTAAAAATATAAAGTTGTTGGGGCTGGAGCAATGGCTCAGTGATTAAGAACATATTTGCTGCTCTTGCAGAGAAGCCAGATTGGATTCCTAGCACCCACAAAGGCAGTTCACAACTGTCTGTAACTCCAGTTCCAAAAAATCATTGCCTTCTTCTGGCCTCTGTGGACACCAGGCTCACATGTATAGCACATACATACTTACAGACAGCATAAAAATAAGTATTTTTGAAAGTTAAAAATTTGGGAGACATCCTATCTAGCAATTATTTAAACATTCACATATCAGAAACAAAATTAATGATATAGTAGTTTTCCTATCACCTGACCTTAAGAAATGCTGCACCATGTCTAAGAACTGTGGGAAGGGTTTAGAAATGACCTCATTATTACAGGTATCATATTTCACTCTGTATACTAAGGCCTGGAAATTCACCAACCAAAGTAGTTATGGGTCGGTGCTGTGTGTGGCATGCTATAATAAGACTTGTAAATTTTTATAATTGGTCAGTTACAGCTTTTTAAATACTCATTTCAACAAATTTGAGTAGCTGCCATGTTTCAGATACTGTATAGGTTCCTGAAACTCCGGATAGCAAAATCAGAACATGCTCATGCCCTTTTATAGGATGGCATTGTATTTGTATGTAATCTACCTCCATCTTCAGCATGTTTAAAGAACACGACAGGGAAAGTGAGCAGGTGCTATAAGCCACAGAGAATGGGCTTTCTTCTGCCTGTGACAACCTTTACTATATTCTTTAGATTAACTTTTTTTTTTTTTTTTTTTTTTTTTTTTGGTTTTTCGAGACAGGGTTTCTCTGTGTAGCTTTGCGCCTTTCCTGGGACTCACTTGGTAGCCCAGGCTGGCCTCGAACTCACAGCGATCCGCCTGGCTCTGCCTCCCGAGTGCTGGGATTAAAGGTAGATTAACTTTTTTTCATACTTGTCTATGTAGTTGTTCTTAAGCACTGCATTTCTCCCTGAGCCCAAGTCAAATGATTAGTCACCATTGTTTACCTTTAAGTACACGCTTGACCGATACTTTGGAAGTTCAGCATTTTAGGGAACTGCATTGTGAACCACTTATGAGAACTGTAAATAAGCCATCTAGTTTCTGTGCATAGAAAAGAATGTCATCTTCATTTTATATCCAGGTCTCATACGCAGTTAATTTATCCTAAAATTATTAAAGGGCATTTTTTAATGTTCAGATTTATGGAATAAGCAAAACTTGGCATCCAAGGTCATCCTTGTAACCTTTTAGGATGCTGGGAGCCAATTTCTGCCTCCCAGCAGGTGGCAGCAGATGAGTACTCAGTAAGGTATGGTAACCTCACCCTGGTTTTCCTGTCCTGGTTAATGTGTTGCCTGTGGCAGGCTGATCATTCTTCCTGCGCAGAGCAAGAGGAGTACTTACGCTGCCTACCTGGGAGTTTGCGTCAGCTTACTACCTGCTTGGGAGGATATACTGAAATTATATAACTGAATTTTATTGTGCAGTTATGTTAATATTCTTTCACATTTTATTCTTTTTCAACTTTATTATCCATTTTGTGTGGGACTTTGGCATCTGTATTTATGAGAGATACTGGTCTGTGACTTTTTTTTTTAATCTGTCGGTTTTTCTGAGACTAATGCTGTCATTGTGTTTGTCTAAGCTTATCTGAGATTGACGTGTGTTAGCCTACGCAAGCCACCCTGTTGGAACAACACTCATGTTCACATGCTATAGCCAGAGATGAACACACTGTCTATAACCATTAATCAATTAATACCCATCAGCATTATCTCAGAATTTATGCAGTGTAGCTGAAGTATTCTTATAGACAAATACATTGTTTTTTAAAGCTTTTATTAGAAAAATATAGAGGAAAAAAATTAAAACATCCAAGACAGGGACAGCAGACTGTGGGGCATAGGACAAGTTAATGCACAGCCTGTTTTTGTACACTGCAAAATTCTAGTGAGACTGATAGAGGGATAAGGATAAGGAGACAGATGAGTCGCATCTGGAGGAACTGAACACTTCTCTGCAGGCATAAGACAAGAACCTTCTGTTGATTCAGTGCCAGGGCACGCTGGTAACAGTGTGGGTGAAGCCAGGGAAGCCTCTAAGCATTCTGCAGTGCACACAACTGTCTCCTTCAACTTTGCCGACCTCAAATAATAGTGGTCCTATGCTTGAAATCTCCTAGTTAAAACTGAAAGAATAATATTACAAATTAATTTAGACCAATAAAATCAGATAACAATAAATAAATCCAAGACCAAAACTGACTGGAGAGGAAATAGAAATTTTGAATTAATAATTTTAGAATAATTTACAAAAAGCCTCTAGGCCCAGATGGTTTCACTGGTGAAATCTGTAAATATTGAAGAACATGTGATGTCAGTCCTACATAAATTTGGAAAATAGGAGGACTATTGACAGCCCAATCTTATAAACACTGAGATGTTAGAAAACCAAGTCAGCAACTACCATGGAGAAACAGATGCAGAATTCTTATGCAAAATAGAAAAAAGTACAACAGGCAAATGGGATTTATTCCAGAATGTAACTTTGACCCAACATAAATAAATCAAATGCCTGACGGCACAGGCCTGTAATTCTAGCTTCTCAGGAGGCTAAGGCGGGATCACAAATTCAAAGCCTGCCTAGGCCAGCTGAAGTCCAGTCAGGTACTTAGGGAAAGAGAGACAGAAAGACAGACACTCCAGCAACAGTAAACCCAATCTGTATTTCTAACTCATGAAAACAACTGGAGAACTAGAAAAAAGGAACTTCATTGCATAATGATGTCCGTGAGTGACCAGGGGCCACCAGCATGCTTATTCACCAATAGTCTGTCCTAGGACTGGCCATCAGATGAGCTGTCTGCTCATAGAACTTCTGGTGAGCTGTGTTCTAGGTTCTCACAAGCCTTCCAAAGACAGAAGATTAAAAAGGAAAGGAGTTCAACTACTCACAGCTCAATGCAGGCAAATCGGAGCCACTTGTCCCTGTAGGCTTTGTGTACAGAGAGTCTTAATTCTGCTGAATTTAATGCTAGGTCATAGGGTAGAAACTGTCTAGAAGTATCTCTACATGCTAGTAAGTAGCACTTGGCACATGAAATTTTTAAACAGTAGCATAAATACTTGTAAATGCTTTTAATGAAAGATAGCTGTAGTCTGAAACTACAGAGGTGCTGAAGCGAAAACTCCAAATAAACAAGTGATGACCATGAGGGCGTGTCCTTCTCTGCCAGTAGGCCACACGGGAAACGAGTGTGGGATTGCTAGGACCACTTTCCAACCAATTGCACCAACCTGGTTCTGCCCTGAGCCTGAACTAGTCTGGAAACACCTGGAGCTGGCTGTTTTGCCTCTGATACTGTCCCAGAAGTAGAATTACAGCATATTTAAAATTCACCAAATTGTCTTTTCTTATATTCCTTCCCACTGATGGCTGTAGTTGACAAAAGAGAAAATCTGTTTCTTTTGATAAATTTAGTAAGTAGACAGAATGTAGACTACATTTGCCTGATGGCATAACAAAAATCATTGAACAATGCTGAATTTGGGGAAACTACC